GCATTTCCAATACTAAAGTTGTACTATAACCCAGCACAATCCAGCCAGGACCCCAAACGAGACATTTCCAGTACTAAATCCAATACTAAAATTATATTACAACCCAACACAATCCAGCCAGGACCCCCCCACCATTCCGCAATATCCTCTTCGACCCACCCTCGCCGATCACGACCGAACCCATAGGCCCTCACCAACCATTCCACAATACTCCCCAAATCCCAAATAATCTCAAACACTCCTACCCGCCACCTCACAACCCACCACTCCCGCCGCTCCGCCTCTTACAAGTATTCCAAAAAAAAACCAAGAAATTTCGAGTCAAGAAGTAATCAAATATTCGAAGAAAAATTGAATCTAGCAGCATTCCAAAAATATTCGATAAAAAGCTTTCGCTTTTCTTGAGAATCCCGTAACAATAATCAAATGAGATCAGAAAAAGAGAGAAATCATATGAAGAATTCATTACAAGGCCAAAACGCACCCTAATATATAGGCAATTATAGAGATACAAACAAAATATATTAATTAAAGATTAATATTTATATGAAAGCTTCAAACTAACCACTTATCTTATCTTATATTTCATTTAAAATTATAAAATCTAATATCTTTTTTTATACATTCAATATTTTATAATCTTTTCAATATCTCTCTTTCGAAAGATCAGGGTTCGAAGATAAGATATCCTAAAGCTAATTCTTATACTTTAAATTTTATTTCTAATTTTTTGGAAAAAATATAAAAAATATATAGTCTATTAAATTATTTTTCTACTACCGATATTTATAAACTAGAATTTGAAAATTATCCTCATATTATCATAAATCAGAAATAATCCTTCCTTCTTTAAATTCAAAATATTTTAAGAATTCCATTCAGAAATTCAAGAATCTTCATAATAAAATCACCAATTATTTTTTATCTTTGCTTATCAAAAATCTCCATTATTATAATATTTTAATAATTCTTTCTAAGTTCCAATTCTTTTTTTATCTTCTTTACTCATTCACTCGAAAATATTCAATTTGAAACACTCTTAATTTAATTCATGAATATATTTACAGAGTTCCTATATATCAAAATAAAAATAAGTATAAGTCAATGTATATGACTATTCATGAACCCCTATATTTCTCAAATAAATCAATGAATTGAGAATAACTATTTACCATAATATCTTGAAACATGTAGTAAAATTAAAGTGTCAAGAAAATCCCCAATCTTTTCAAATCTTTGGAAAAATCTGAACGAATAAGATTGTTCAGCTCTCTGAAGAAATCCAAATAGATTTCCCATATAGTTATAAATATTTATAATATATTAATATTCACATAACCTCACTTTGTCTGCATGTTAACCACCAGCTTCAGCAGTGGTCCGTGCCTGTCAGTGCTTGACTTTGTCCGGTCCGCTTGTTGGGTACTGAGGAGAGCGCGGCCGGTCGTTGGAAGCGACGACGTGGGGCATCCCAGTAAGCCTGAAAATCTGGATATTGGTTTGGCCTGCGAACTTGCAAGACGGCGGCCTCACCATAGTCAAAGCAGAGCTCCTCGTTCCGTTGCAGTTCATCCTGCCCATCCTCTGAACGTGAACGGATCAACAAGCGTAGCGATATCTTATATCTTTAGCTCCCATCCTCAGAAATGCCTTGCGCATCGATGATCGCGTCTACGGCAAATGGCTACTCCCTTCAGCATCGTCTCTAGAAGCACACTGCTAAACTGCATTGATTGACAATATGCGGTGCGAGAAGCTGTCCTGCGGATGAGCGACCCACACACAGCATTGAGTCGTCTCATCCTCGACCCGATCTTGCGCTTGACCCAGCGAGAAGCGATGATCGCATCGAACACGCGCTCAAGCAATGCCCGCCAAGTGCGCTGTTGGGCGTCCGGCATAAAACCATTGAACGTTCTCTCCTTGCAGCAAGTCATGCTACCTACAAATCCTCTTTCAAAGGCCAAGGCCCCTCCACATCAAGCGAGTCGGCCTTGACCACGCTCCAAGTGGTTGTACATGCCACCGTATCCTGGGCTTCGGTTATTGGATTGTAGCGGAACAGGACAATGCTGCTCAAAGCGCATGGCCACAAGGAAGCACGTAGCGCGACTGGCGCTTCATCACACTCCCACCTGAGTCAAGTCATGATGCCAGGTCCAGGGCACCGACCGGAAAGAAAAAGAACACATGGGACTTCGCTGCCAGATGAAGGAAAGAGTAAAATCATAGGAGAGCATGGTCAACAGGAACGGCACACAAATTATCACAAATTCGAAAGCTCGGATCGAAAGACCAGCTCAAGACAACAACTGGAAGTAAGTAACGAGCCAGGGGTACAACGGGCACAGAAAATGAAACACACCATTCTTGTAAGATGCTCTGGCCCAGTCAACAGCATCCAGGACCCACACCCTCCACGTCGATCTTGACTTCAGGGAGTTGGAAGCAGTGGTCCTGCAGAAAGTCTGACATCGTGAACTCAAAACCACACTTTTCCCGTCCTGCATGCAGTCAGCACCGTTCGTGTCAATGATAAGACAAGGGCACATCCTGCAGTGACTACTCCATCAGGGATTGCCAAGGTTTCACTTCAGCTCAGGAGGCTGCTCAACGATCTCTCCCTTCTTGAAGGCCGCATCGGCAAAGACTCCGCGGCCGTGAAGCCTTGACCTGAACTCCACTCAAAACAGCAACGTCCTGGTGAAATTCTCAAAAAACCTCGCCCGCAAGTTGAACGTGGCACTGTGAGAACACTCAGGGCTCCAGGCTTGCCGAACTTCACACTCCCTGGGATTGGGCGCACTTTGCGCGGCCCGCATGGCCCCGTCAGTGCCTACGAGAACTTGCAGCAAGGTCAAGGCGACACGGAATCAAAAGAGCATTTGGTACCAACGTACATGCCATCTTATTGACAAACAGCAGTGGTGTGGACCACCTGAACTCAGCACAACGGCCCGTGAGATCAGGG